ACACAAAATTACAGGACTTGTTAATAAAATCTAACAATCAAATAGTAAATACGTAATTTGCAAAATGTCCATCAATTGTCTCATAATGACTCAGACTTCATTGTTAATGCATTTTCATACAAATTGCATTCTGTTCCCATTCTTTACTGTTTGATCCTCTTGTGTCTCTGTTGCCAGACATTTTGTTCACGGCTAACATCATATACTACTTATATCGATATAAGTAGCACACACCACACTACTACTACCACTAATGATAATAATATTAATAGATATCTTGCTTATGGACTAATTACTCCAAAAATATACTTTTAGATAATCATTTCACATGAAAAGTTGCTGATATTCTCGGAAAGTATGTATATAGTGATGAATGAAGTAGGGGTAACCAGTTTATTGGTTAATATAAAATTACAGAATGTCTTCGCAAAATACTAAAGCCATACATTAAATACTTCATTCGCATACCTGCCATCAATTGCTTCTTATAATCTTCATCGTTCCTTCATTCTTGTTGTTATTACAATTCCTCTATCTTTGCATTTCTGTTATCTTCAATTTGATCTTCCCAACTTTTTGCTTCTAGTCATTCCGCTTCTGATTAGCGTTACACACTACTTATGTCAATAGACATGTATCACAATATATATTTGGATAATAGACTGGTTTTTTATTAATTGAGATAGTAAAATGATGGTTGTCAGCACACATCGGAATATATATTTTTTCAAATATTTAGCTTTACTCATTATAGTTATTTGCGAACGTCTTAAACTCATATTTTTTTTCTATGGTTAATATATAGATCATTATTTTAATGATTAAAATATTCTATTTTCAATCATTAGGAAGCAAATTTCAACCGTGCACGACCTGTCTTTATTTGAGCAGTTGGATAACAGCAATAATCATCACATGAAAGTATTGCTCAAAACAGATTATATGCAAATTTAACTAGTTACTTTAATAAAAATGTTTACGTATAGGGCTGTTATTTAGGCATAGAATTTGATCAGTAACTCATGAATCATACGAAACACTTTAGTTGAAGTAAAAAATCACTCAATTAAATATTATTATACAGACAGATTACTTTTAGTGAAATAGTGTTAATTAAATTCATTAACTTAATTATAATATGTATTGATACTTTCATGGTATTATGAATAATATAAAATTTTCAAAGAGCTATTTCTCACTGATTATCTCGTCAATTGAACTGAAAGTTTATCAATGATTCTTAGAGAAATATAATCAAACTATTCTAATACTGTTTCTTTTGCCGACAAAACTATAACAAATTGTATTCCTATTATTAAATACTTAAATGTTTATAATTATCCTAATTATAAACGAAAGATAATAGTTACCTGTCAATATCTATTTCTGAAAACAATATAATTATTTAGCTCTATTTATGAGAGAAGTTATAACATAAAATTTACAATTTAGTTGAATTATGAATATATTACTCTTGGTGTTGTTAGAATTTCCTAGTCTTTTTATAACTGGCTAATTTATCTAAGTAGTTTGAACAGATAGGGTTATGAATATTATATATCCTCCATTTGAAAAATGCTTCATCTAAAATTCTTAAGTTTAAAATGTAAATAATGCGAAGACTGAATAAGATGATTTCAGATGAGATTCCAAGATTATTTAGTGTAAACTTCTCACTCCTACATGAGATCAGTTGTGTCTTGAATTTCTCAGTGGTATTGTCATCTCTTGGCGCATATTTTGAAGTAGATTTGAATTCTGTGGATGCAGCATCAGTTTTCAATATATTTCAGAAACATCCTTCTAATTCGTTTCAACCATTTCAAAATTTTGATTCAGGACATTCTAGTTACTCAGTTTAAGTATTTGGTATTAGACCGAGTGTTACTCTACTTTTTGAGTACATGAAAGTCAATAATGTTATTCTGTTGTATATGAAGAAGAAGATTAATAAATCTCCGGACGTTTAACCAGGATACATTAATTTATAAAATTTAATTTATTATGAAATCATGAAATGAAGAACAGTTATAATTGGGAAGAATAACAATTATCAGATAGATTTCTTAATTGTTTGATATTGAACTAACTAAAAGTATTTTTCCCAAACTATTTAGTTCCGAGAGTGAAATTTTCGAACATTAACATTGTAAATGGACAAACAGATATTTTTTTAAATTATCAAATTACAAAAATAATTATTGACCACTATTTTTGGTTTTCTTCTACATTTTTATCAGAAGATTATTTATTGAGTCGTTTTAACCGTATGAAATAAACTTGTAACTATGATAAATAATGTTTACCAATGGATATCTGTCAGTTATCCTGCTTAATTATGTTTTCTTCATTTAATACTATCTATAACTGCGCAATCCTTTGATTTAAATTATAAAAAACCTGGTTAACTGAAAGGATCGGAAACTCTATGTTCAATCATTCTCCCCCTACATATACAAGCGCAAACACAGATTCAATCAAATTGTTAGTTGTAAGATAATTAGATATGAAATCATGCTTTTAGTATGTGTGTGCGTGGATGTATGTATGTTTGGAAAGGGATACAGTATTGATAACAATTCCATTTTGGTCATTATACCTACCAGTATGTTTTATATTTGTTTGTATTAATAAAACAAAATTTATTCATGTTTTTTATGGATTATATAAAATACTGGAGCCCATATTCTATAATTTGATAATTGCTTAAACAATGATCATTAGAAAAATGAAATAAGAATGAGAGTTTTTAGAATTATCACATATAGTCAAACAATTAAATGGGAAATCGAAAAGAAAAGAAAAATTAAAATAATTGAGGTCATAGTTATACGGAATTTATGTGTGTAGGTGTATTTGTGAATAACTTTGATCCCAAAAATTTTACCAGTTGAGCAAGTAGTAAAACAAATAATTGGAGTATGAATATTAGTCGGAATTTCACAACTATTGGTAGTGTATACATTGAAGTTTTATAACTAATCAATGACTACAAAACCGTTCATTAGAAATCTAGCAAAAAATATATTTGAAGTTAGACTGAATATTGTTGGATGCCGGCTCAGTGGTCTAGAGGTTAAGTATTCGCACACAAGACAGGAGGCCATGAGTTTGAGTCTCACGTGCGGGATTGTGCATGCGTAGTGTTAAGGAGTCCCATATTAAGGCGAAACGGTTGTTCGGTGTTTCCAGGTTCTCATTGATGATCTAACACTGATTGGTCCATGATCTCAATAAAAAATCAACAGCCTTCATAACTCTATACTGATAAATACATTTTAACTTAAAAGTATGAAGGGATTTTGTTTCATTGCTATTAAAAGTGAAAATTAATATTTTCTGTTTAATTTCTTCAAATGTTTATCATTTCACCAATAATGACTGAGATAGTTTACTTCGTTATTTATATAAAATTGTAAATTGTTTATCGCTGCATTCTCTGAAGAATCAATTGTTTCTAAACTTGATCTCATAATAGTTTGTAAGTATTCATCACTGATAAGTTTTAAAGTTAAATGAAAGAAATGTATGGTTCCTGTATGATTTCCATAGGTCATCTTTTAACCGACTTAATTTCAAGATGATAAAGAAGATTTTTAACTCAGGAGGATGATTTTCATAGAATTACGTTTTATGAACTGACTAGTTTAATCGTGAGAATTTTACTATCTTACATGAGAAAATCACTGACACAACCATCAAATGATGTTGTCTGGGAAGATTATAAAAGCTTGACTATTAAGCTATCCAGGTCAAAGAAAGCAGATCCATTAAAATAAGTTTATTGTAAAACAAATCAAGTTTAAAAAATAAAATTAATCCAAACTTTGAAGTATCTAATCTACTCAAAACTGTTAGTAAAGTTAGAATACTTTAACAAAAATTGAACTAGACTAGCATTCAACTGAGTGAAACAACTGGTATATGTACTATTATTATTTCAGACTATCATTTAAAGCAGTTTTTGTGTTTGGTACTGATTAGTAACTGTCATTTTGGGATAAGATACATGTCTGTGAATTTGTAGTATATTTATACTTCGAGGATCAACATGTTTGTAATACCTAGCATTTTTTCGTTCATTTAGTAGGTAGATATTCAATAAAGGAGCCTAATTTTCAAAGGGCGATTTCACTTTAAGCTGTAACCTTCACTGCATATACCTTTCCCATTCCGGAAGTTGGATTGCCTTAGAGTGTCTTATTTACAGAAGACATATTTAGATAGCCTTAGGTGATTGAAATGAAGTCCCTAGTAGAAATTATACTCTCATATACATCACTGATCCACTATATGAATGAAAAAGTGCTCAATAATATCAGATATTGAACTTTCATTGAACATTGAAAAAGGGTGATTATCCTCATAAGTCATTATTATCAATCAATGCCCTGAAAGTGATTCGATTTTATAACATTTCGTTTTATAATCATTATAAGTAGGAGATTTATGGTCCAAATTTTTTGATAACGATTTGTCTGAAATTGAAATAATTATATAAAAGGTTTTCAGAACAAAAGGTTTCATGAAGTGCTCCTTTAGTTAGTTATCATACCAAAAAGCATTTGCTTAATTATGAATTGACTATTCATATACTGAAAATAACTCTAATCACAGAAATCAAAGTCACTTAATCGACTAGTTATTAGATACTATGGTAATAAATACTAAAGAGCTAAACACGTCAGGTGGTTGAAGAGATTCTACAAAGAACCTATAAATTATATTCTGTGATCTCAAATATTCAAGAGACACTGATAATTTACTGAATTCTTAGTTCGTTGTTTTTTGTACTTGTTCCTCTTTTATTTTACTTACAAAATATGATAAAACATAGGTGTTCTAGAAAATATATATACTGAATAAAGCAATATTTAGTGGGTTGTCTCCAACAGGTTTTCGTCTGTTAAGTTATTTTTTTCAACGTATTTGGTGTACTTATTTTTGTTTGTCTATTTTCCCATTCGTTTTAGGTGAAAGTTTGGTTCCAAAATAGACGTATGAAGAAAAAGAAATTACAGTCACGTAATCATAATCCAACTGGTAATAATAATGGAATAACCAGTAGTCTTTCAGAAACTGGTAATGATATCACCGGTAAAGAAAGTGTTGAATGTATGCTAGAAGATGGTGATGATGATGAAGAAGATGATGAAGACGGGCAAATTGAAGATGACGAAGATGACGAGGAAGAAGAAGAAGAGGATAATGAGGGGGAAGAAGTGGGAGAAGATGAGGAAAAGAAAGAAACTGAAGGCAATCATCATCACCATCCTCATGAACAACAATACAATCGAATTTTAAATAATTTTGACAGTCATCGTCATCACTATAGCAACAATAATAATAATAATGAAATGAACTTAAGAGGACAGTTAAAACAAATTGCATTTATGAAAAAAATAGATAAAACTTCGGATTCAACTATTGAAGAATATGATGAGGATTCTGTAAGAAGTGAGAAGTTGAAAATCGAACATGAATTTCTTAATTTAAGTTCAGACATCTATTCAAATGCATCATCATGTTTTATTGAATCAATAAATGATTATGAAGGTAGTCATCCATCAATTACAGATATAAGTAATCATAATAATAAACTTTATAATCATACGAAATTTAATAAATTCTCCCATGAATTATTCCCTCCATTTTACTATAATTCATCAATTGAGAATAATTTAATGAATTCAGAATTCAATTTTAATCCGGTCAATATGAATCGTGACTTATTATTTGATCCTTTAAAAGAATCGTTGAGAAACCAATTAGTTAATCCAAGTCAAAGTAAACATTTAAGTTCTCATATGGGATGGCCATTGGTTAGTAATAATAACAATAATAATAACATTATAAAAGAATACAATATGAATTTATCGTCACCATCAGTATCAACGTCAATCCCAACAATAAGAACATCCACTGAATCAACAAATCATTTCACAAGATTATCTTCATCTCCCAAATTAGATTTACAGACAGACTATCATCCAATATGTTCAATGTTTAATAGTTCTTTCCATCCAACAATTGATTTAAAACCAACTTATTTAACATCTAACCGTCGATTGCAACAAAGAGATGATGCTCATCACAACCAATTGGATAAACAACACTGTTTAAATATCAATCAATCTGAAATATGTGATTTTATACATTCAAATGGAAGTTCTAGAGGAAACGATTCTATTCTAAAAGCATGTCCAACAGAGAGTTATTCTCAAAAATCATTGAACTGTAGTGAAAATTTTAATACATTACCACAGTTGAATCCACATATTTTGTATGATAGTAATGAATCAACCGTAGACCTAACTACTAATACTGTTATAACCACAAATATTAATTCTCCTACATCAATAGGTGTGTCTTCAAGAAGCAGAATGAATATTATGAATTACAATTTAAATCCATTCACAGTAAATGACTCTGATTATTATATGGGTCCAGTAGAGTCTAATCACAGTTACACATTTAATCTTGACTGTTCACCAATCTCTCATTACTCCTTTTTACCTACCTTAACAACGACATCAACATTAGGAACACAATTAACTACCTGTTGGCCTCCTATATCTACATCAACTACTAATAAATTCTTATCACCTCCTCCAGGGTCGTATCCCTTACAGTCAACCAATCCTGATACGGAAGTGAGTGCTACGGTATCAGATGATATCGACCAAAGTAGTGAGTCATTTTCAAGTAGCATAGATCATGAAGTGTCATTTCGAAAAAATATATTTCATTCCTTAAAAAGCTCTACAGCCGATCAAAATAATTGTGAATTAGATCAATCTAATTTATCTTATTTACCAACATCGATGAATGTATATAATCCATTCTCGAAAGGTTCACATAATTCAAATCAGTTAAATTTCTCTGAAAGTAATGATTCGTGTACTTTCTCAACTTATACATCACAACTTAATAGTTCATGTAATATGAATGCAAATGAAACAATCAATCCATATTTACCTGAAACAGATTTTCATCTGATTACTGATCGTGGTCGAGATGATCATTCTATAAAACAAAATCCTTCACTAACACAATACTCATTACAATCTAGTACAAATTTATCTCCATTACATCAATTAAACAATGTATTTAATCAAGTTAATCATAGCGATTTTAATTCGATGTTTTATTCACCATATTTGCATAATTCAAATTCATTTGGTCATTCAATAGCTGGACATGATATGTTAACTGTTACCGATTCATATAATCCTAATGTTTTAAGTAATTTAACACAATCAATAAATCAGTCTTTCAATCAATCTCCTAATATAACTTCTGTTATTAGTAGTAGTAGTGGTACATTTACAATGAATACTACTATTCATTTAAGTAATTTATGTAATACGACCAATATAAATAATGTCACTCTACCATTCCCAATGATTTCTACGAATTCACATTCATTAGACTTATCTTCTACATGATACGTTTGAATTCCAATAATTGTATGAATATGTATATTTTAAAATCAGTATTCTATGATCAATATAATTTCTAGTCTCATTTAAGAAACTTTTTTTTAAAATTTTACACTCAAAAGAATGATATCTTAATCAGATAATATCTATTATGTAAATAGAAATGGATAAGATGATATTGTTCTTTATACTACAAGACAGTTTTAAACATAACAAATGAATGTCGATTGACTTAGATACAATCATGTATTCTTATAATGAATAATTAGTCAATCGTTATTCATATTATTATGTCATAATTTGATAATTAGAAATGAAATTAATTTATATTCATTTCAAAGTTTACATTTTGTGTCATTTAAAGAAAATTATATAAGACAAATTACTCCCTTGAATTAAACAACAATATCACCTTCAATATATTGATTGTAATACTGGGATATCTGTTTTGCTTTTTTTTGGTTACCTTGTGAATTAAAATTTTTTTTATAACAGTATTCATATTCTCATGTTTTTTTCCATTATGTCTCATATTTTATCGTTTCTTTCCTCTGCTTCGCTTATTCACTCATTCAGTTCACCTTACTTGACACGCACACAACCACACGACAAAAACTATGAAAAAGTAAGACTTGACCCAGCATATTTCTTACAAAGAGTCAATTTTCCTTGTTTTTTCCTGTTGACGTTGTTTGTTTACATATAAATAATTATCTACTATTATTATTTATAATTATTATTTGTTACTTGAATTTTCAATTGTTGAATTTTGATTTCATCATCTTCACACTATTAAGACAAAACCGAAACAATTTTTTTTCCAAAAAAAGAGAATTTAATGATGAAAACGAAAACAATTTTTGTTTCTGAACAAAATTGAAAAGAAACTTTATAATTTACTATTCCTCTATTTGCCTCGCTCCCTCCCTCCCGCCTTCCATCTTCCCGTATCATCTTTGAGGGTATTGTAAAGTCACTTTTTTTCTTCTTCTTCGATAACGAATATCATGAAATATATGTAATATGGGTCTGAAGTTGTTTATCAAATGTAATTTATTCTTCGAAAATCAGTTACTATTGATTTAAACTTTGTGATGAGAGAATGAGGTTTATGTTCATTGAAATGGTTGAGATTTTATAGAATATAAAGTGGGTTCAACAGAAACTCAGTGTTCAGTTGCTGGATAATGATCCTGTAAATTTAGTATAGAATAGTGTTTGCATAAAAACACTTACTTGCTTACTTACGCCTGTTACCCCTCGTAGAGGAGCATAGGCCACTCCCCAGGAGTCTTCGAAGAACTTTATCCTGGGCTATCCTCTCAGGTTGTTTCCAGTTGCTATCCATTCTTTTAATGTCTACTTCCGATTCGCGGCGCAATGTGTTCCTTGGTCATTACAAATGACTATCAGCTAAATTTTAAATTGCAAATAACTCTAACATGTAGATACACAAAATATCAGTTTTATTTGTGTAGTAATGAACAATTCCAAAATTAAAATTAGTTGAAAATTAGTAAGAATAATTCAGAGCAGTTATCATACAAACTGAAGTGGTTTAGTAACTGAAAATTCATTTTATTTAATCTTAAATCAAGCTAATTAGCTATACAATTAAACTAGTTCTCAACGAGAAATTAATTACCATAAATAATTCTTTCTTATCTCTGCTAATTGAGAAAAAATGATGTAGTATGAAACAGAAATAAATTTCTACATGATTTATAATTCGAATTAGGAGATATGTAGTTAGGAGGATATTTAAATATTTAGTTTATTTCGTAAACGGCTATCATTCTTCGATTGGTTATTCAGTCATTTCTTAAAAATTTTCGTTAAATTAGGAGAAATATTAGCTTTTCATAAGTAAATTCAGTACATAGATCTCTAAAGTGCCAACAGTCGGTACAAAATGAATTAACTATGTACCTCGCAATTAGTCGATAATATTTGTTGTAAAGTATTACCAGACTAATGGCTAGATTTGAGAGGAAATTCTTGGAGTCCTAGTAAGAGGCCGTGACAATTAGAGTTTAACCGTGTCGGGTGTCAGACAGCTATCCACCGAAGACAAAGGAAGATGGCCTCGTAATATCGTGGATTGACTGGAGTTAGACACTAACACCACTGGATGCCGACTCAGTGGTCCTTGGTTCAACTCCCACATGTGAGGTCGTTGATGCACACTAATGAGGAGTCCCATACCATAATGAAATAGGCACCAATTACTTTCATGTTTTCAATGATGGCACAACATTGATCGGGTTATGATGACACTGAAATTAATTGAATTCAACAAAAAAGTCAAAACCATTGATTCGTGTTTATAGCGTTTACCACAAGACCTACAACTGATTAGTTTAATCCTGTTCGAATGCTATGCCCAAACTGTTGAATCATTCTGAATCACGACAAAATAATTATTCTATAACCCTTAATTTTCACTATTCACTTAAATGATATCAGACAATTATAAAATAAATCGATTTCCAGAGAAAATTATCTATGTGCCTAATATATATATATATATATTTAACACAATTACTAGAACTAGGTACACACAAAACCTCGATGCTACAGTTCCATAACTGATGAATATTTAAGTTAAAATATATTCATTTGTGCTTTATTTTCAACTAGATGTAAATAAATACATAAGGGCATTGATTGACACTTGATAATAAATTCATGTTATACGACTTGGATTCATTTACGTAATACTTATGTCTTATTAGCCGTGTCGAATTGGTAATAATAATAATAATAATTCAAATAAGCAATTGTAATTTTATTTAGTCTGATATTTATTTTAATTACTATTTATAATCATAACAGTTTATCAATTGAAATGATGGTGCATTACTAATATGTAAAAGAAATATATCACAATGCTTATATACAATGAATTATTTTATCATTATTATATAATGAATAAGAATAGTAATAAAATGCAATAATGAATAATGCCTTAAAATGTTGACTTATTTAATAGATAATTAAAGCTCAATAATCATATCGTAATAAATTAATTGAATGATTGACTAAATTGGTTATTTAACTGATTCAAATGACTAGATTGAATGAATTCATTATTTGTCAAGGTCACTGTTCAATAAACATGAATGAAACAGTTGAAGCTGACATTTTATTATTATTGTTATAAGTATTATTCAATTAATTAGTGATAAACTGAGAACGGTTAATAATTGGTATCATTAATATTATACTGAAAAGTTTATCATAAATGAAATTACTGTTTACTGTCATCCTTCTTCACGTTCAATTGTGCTTTAGAGATTGTATGAATATATTTCTCATAAGATAAATTGAATAGAAGTAAAGTGAACAGTGTTAATGATAACAGTTACTTTGAAGATAACTAGTATCATGAACTGAGGTCACCTGGAAAACCGCTGAATACCGTAGAACACTGGAAATCTAGTTTTTATTTTTTAATTTCTGGTTACTCAGGAGGATCAGAGGTTTCAGATTCGATTTCATGTGTACCTATGGATTGCATGCTTCAGAGAGGTTCAAATAAGAAATAAAATAACTATTCAATAGTTTCTGATTATTAATGGTTTTCCAAGTATCATCAATTCATCAAGAAAACTACCTCTAAGATATATCAATGACTTGAGATGATAGAGAAAATTTATAGTCTACGATGAGGATTTCGGAAACATTTTCTTCTTTGAGCTGAATAAAATGACCGATGAAGCTCTCAATGTCTTGGTGGAAAATATAGAAAAAAAACGTTATTTTTGAAGTATGTGGTAATGTTGCTTCGGAAACTAACGAAAGCTTAGTAATTAAGCTGTTCAATGCAGAAAGCATAACGCTTTTACACTGTAAAATGATCTCTACAAAACATTTCAGAGGAATTTTTATCAAGGCTACATTAAATGATCAAAAATAGCAAACTATGGAGTATTTATAAAAGTTAAAGAGTGACTAGTGATGGAATCGAGAACCAACTTTTCACCCTGTTTGAGGATTGTCCGCTGGATGTACCTGTATCCCAAACCTTTTAATTCAGATATCAACGCGTTGTTTATCAGGCTGAGTCCACAGAGCCAATAACTTGTGCAATGAGTTTAAATTTTATTTGTCAGAGTTTGTATTTTCCCTTTGTTGATATTAAAGACTACAATAAATCAGTTTTAATCTGCATATGTTGATCCTTAAGGGATTGTTTCGATGTGGTCACATAGTTACGAGCATTTATTTAAGAAAGATACAACTTCTTGCAGGCATTGAGCGTTTGCTTATCCATATATAAATAGGAAATTAGTCTCAGTGATATTAGATTTATTTTATACAGGAATCTTTGAAGAAATACGTTACAATGCATAGAAATTTTTATTGAATAAACAGTACGTGATTGTTTATTTACTGTTATCATAACGAAACAGAAATCTCATTCATATTATTACTAGTGAAATATCTATATTTTTTGGACGCACAATCCTGGTTTTCCCAGACATAAAGCTATTGCTTCGTCAATGTTAAGGAGATGCAGTCTAACTGCCTTTGACATCCTTCTACTGACCTTGTAGATGAAAATTAAACATGTAAAAAGACAGACACCACGAGCGATAAATATTCTTTAAAGAAGTAATGAGTACTCCATCATGAATTTTACATTAATATCTGAAGTAATATAATCTGGATTCAGTTCTACAAGAAAATACTAACACTTGAGTGAGGATACTTAACTTATCAGTCCTCATTAAAACTAAACGTTTATACTAGATTTCTCTGTCGATTATCAATGAACAAATAATATAAAACTTAATTTTTATCACTTTCAATGAATTAAAAAAACAACAGTTTGCATGTCTGAATTAAATTCAAATGATATGAATGAAAAAATTAAAAATCATTGAAATTCTCATGACTGTTTGTTTAAACAAATAAACTGCCTGTTAACATATCTCTTTAATAAATTATTTTCTTTTGTTTTGAAATAAAATTCGACAATAAAATTATACTTCTTACTCCTC